CTTCTTAACCTGCTGGACTCTGTGTCTAACTCATTTATTTGCCTTTTGTACTAATGCCTTGTTTTGTTGCTCTGGTTTGCATTTCCATAAGCCAAGGAACAGGTGATCTGTTTATTCCAAACTTCCACTGCTCCGGGTGAGATAAATTCTGCTGTTTGTACCTCTGGGCTGGGCTGCTGCTTTAGTGTTGAAGCAATGATTTGAAATGAGGTTTTGACCAAATAAGCTGGTTTTGTCAGAAACATGTGTGCCGAGTGTTTGGGCTTTGGGGGTTGTTTGGTCCCCTTTAACCCTTGCGGTGGATTCCGTGTCCGTTCGGGCAGCGACGCGATACGGTTGGGCTGAGGTCAGCAGCTATAAAAGGGAAGGAGGAGATCCTGTCCTTTTGTGGCTCTCCCATCCCTTCCACAGGGGCTTTGCCCATGTTTGGGGGGCCCAGGGCTGAGCGTGTCCTTGGGCACTCCCCGCGCTGTGCTCCGCAGGCCCCGACGCGCTGCAGATTTGAATTCTGTGCTCTTCAGGCCGAGCTCAGGCTTTCTGAAGACCCTAATCCAGCAACAATTGCCCAGTCCAAACTCCTTTTGAAATCATTGTCACGTTGGGTTCTTGTAAGTCCTTGTTTACAAGAGCGTTTCCATTGACTTGGGCGCGTTGGCAGTTGTGCGAAGGGCCTGGAGGAATGTGCTCTGGGCTGGGTGTTCCGTGGGTGTGTTTGTTCTCCTCACTGCAGGAAGGAGGACACGCAGCGCACAGCCCTGTGTCTGTGCAGGGTAACACCACGAGCCTTTGGAGAATAATCACTCTCTTTTGATCTTTTCTCCCTCGCCTGCTGCTGGTTTCTGTGACCTTGTTGCTGTGTCCCAGCAGAGCTGCAGCCTGGGGATGTTACCCCCTCAGCCAGGCTGGGATGGCACAGTGTGCTGAGCTGCACATGGACCAACCACCTCGGGCTGAAACCTGCGAGGCCGAAGAGTTGTGCAAACCTCACGGGTCACACCACGTCCCTGGCACTGGGAGAAAGGTTCAAGGCACATATTGTGAGTATTATCCATACTGAGCTAAGTGATACGAAAATTTTTGGAGGCTATTCCAAGTGTCTGTAAAATGCTGTGAGTTCCCAGCGCCAACCAGCTCTGCTTTTTGGCCCAAAGTGGTTGCTCAGTGCGCTTCATGCTCCTCTCTGCTCTTTAAAAAATTTCCAGTTGGGATCTATTTGCTCAGGCCTTTGCTTGGGGATAGTAGGGGATTTGGGAAAAGCTATCCCAGGAAAAAGAATGTACTTACATTGTGATTTGTAGCCAAATGATGTACAGATATTATTTTGATATGTGTGCCCAGCTGATGAGCGATGGGGACACGGTGGGAATCAATAAATAAACCTCATTTAAACAGAGCAGTGGTGATTCACACTATTTGCTCAGGCCTTTGCTTGGGGATAGTAGGGGATTTGGGAAAAGCTATCCCAGGAAAAAGAATGTACTTACATTGTGATTTGTAGCCAAATGATGTACAGATATTATTTTGATATGTGTGCCCAGCTGATGAGCGATGGGGACACGGTGGGAATCAATAAATAAACCTCATTTAAACAGAGCAGTGGTGATTCACATCCTTTGGCCATCCCAGGAAGTGGCAGATGTTGCAGTGTCCTCTCACAAATGGTTCCTTTCTCCACAGTCTGGATTTTTCCCTTGAACAAGTGTGTTGTCTTTAAGCTTTGCATGTTCTCAGAGTATTAAATATAAGAATTTGCAACCTCCTTTCTGTTCCTACCCTGAGTAGATAATTCACATCTAGTAAGATGAAACAGTTGATACATCTCCTTATATGCTGGGGAGATGGGAACAGGGAATTGTGATGCTGGAGCAGGTTCTGGAAGGTCTTGGTTTTGTGTTTGTCATGGCATTGGGGCTCTCAGCGTTCCTCCTGCCAGCAAAGCACCCATGAAGTTATGAATGAAATTAATGGGACCACTCAAATATATTTTGATGATAAATCCTTCTGGAATTGCCGTTTGCTGTTTCTTTGTCCATAGTATTTGTGGTGGTTTAGCTGCAGAGCGTGGGGTCGTGCTTGGAAAGTGGAGTTTGGTGTGGCCTGGGGAGCTTTTTATCCATTCAATGCAGAACTGTAGTGCAGGAATTGAAGAGCAAACGTGGCCTTATGGTGAGGTGACCTCCAGGTTTCTACAGCTGTGTGGTGCTGGGGCTGCTGGGACTGCAGTGGTAGGATGCTCTTAGGGTGACCGGGGTCCCTGCAGTGCCTTCCCGTTGGTGTGTGGGATTG